GTAGAGCACAAGCTTAGCAAGTGTAAGGCTATGGGATCCATTCCTGAGTGTGTGCATACACACACACACACACACACACACACACACACACACACACACACAGTATAAGCTAGCCTACATATAGTGAAGTGTACAAAATATACATTCATAGTTTAACAAACTTTCCCAATGCAAACACCCACACAATTGTGCCCTAGGTCAAGAGAACCTGACCGGTATTCCTGTACCCTCACCCCCTTTACCTGTTCCCTCCTCTACATTCCCTTCCTCTGTGGAAGAGGTGCGCCTCCTTGGGGACACCACCCCTGCCCCTCTGTCTAGCACCTTATCCACTTGTGGAGCCCTGGCTCTCCTCTGAGGCTGTCCCCAGTATAGTGCTTTCATAACTATGCTCAGTATTTGCATGTTGTCTCCCCTGGGATTGGCAATGTCATGACCTCCAGGGCCTGTCCACTCAATGCCAGCACCAAGCAGAGGGCCTGAACATAACGGGCATTTGGGCATGAATAAACACCAATACCAGCTGTGGAGCTGTGGAGGTAGAGCCAGGGCAGTCAGTGCGTGCCCACACCTGGCCTGTTCAGACAAAGGCCTCTGCCTTCGGTGCTGAGATCGGGCAGCAGGGTGGCATTCCAGTTGGCTGAGGGCTGGGCAGCAACAGGCAGAGCCCAGGTCTGGCACTAGGCAAGTGCTCAATGACGTTCTCCTCTAAGGTTCGACAACTGGGGGGACCAGCAGGGTGAGGTGGGTGACAGACTGTGGGATCTGCTACTGTCTGTCTGGAATGCATTCTTCCCTTTGCCCCTGGCCAGCTCAGACGCTGCTCTAGAAGCCCCTCCTTTGGGCCCTTCACCCCAGTGCCTCCCTACATCTCAGTCCTGGCCCCTTCCCAACCCAGCTGAGCCTCCTCAAGCAGTCACTGCCTGGAAATGGGTCTGTCTCCCCCACTGGACCTGGAGCTCTGAGGACAGGTCCATGTTTCCCTCAGTCATTGCTGCACCTCCAGCACTGTCTGTAGCAGGATCTTGTTCTGCAGAGTCTGTTGGAGGACCCTGTTCTGTGAACTTTTTTTGAGACTGGGTCTGGGCCCATAGCCCAGGCTGGCCTTGAATTCATGTTGATCCTCCTGCTTCAGCCTCCTAGGTCCATGCACTACTATGCCCGCCTACCCTCTTTTCTTCTGTGTGTGCATGTACAGGCCTGTGTGTCTGTTACTACAGACTGAACCCAGGGACACCACTCTACCACTGAGCTATAGCACCAGCTCTTTTTTTTTAAAATGTAAACTTTGTTTTACAAAATACCTTTTTTTTTTTTTTTTTGGTGTATTTAAGACAGGGTCTACAGGGTCTCACTATGTAGATCGGACATCTAGTGATCCACTTGTGTTCAGCCTTCCAAGAGCTGGGATTAGAGGCATGCGCCACCAGCCAGTCTCAATCCTGCCTTAGCACGCCCCGGGGCGGGGGCGGGGCCAGTACAGCATTGGAGGGGGAATAGAACCCTGGCTGCTGCATAATCCACAACTCTTAAAATTAGTTGCCTGCCAGGCACTCATTCAGAATTTAGTGATCCTTTGGAGCTACAGGGAGAAGAGATCACACGCTCAAAGAAAAACTACTGGGGGCTGGGGAGATGGCTCAGTAGAATAAGCACTTTCCTGGCAATGCAAGGGCCTGAGTTCAACCCCAGGTTCTGCCAAAGAAAAGAAAAAAAAAAAAAAAAAAAAAAAAGCTTTTTGGAGGGCAACTTTTTTGCTAAATTGCCCAGGCTGGTCTACAACTTAACTACCCTCCTCTCTTAGCCTTCCAACTACTTGGTTTACTGGTAGTATGTCATCATGCCTGGCAGGTCCTATTTATTGTGCTGCAGTTTAAATACCTCCCCATTCTCTGGTTCTAATGACAGCCAGGTTTGAGGTGCACTGCCAGGTACTGCTGAGAGCTCACTTAATCCCCAGCACATCCCCAAGGGAGGTGTGTGATCTATCCCTTCACGGATCAGGAAACTGAGGCCTAGAGAGGCCCAGTTGCAGGTCCAGGGCCACACAGCCAAGGCTGGCAGAAGGAGGGCTTGAACCCAGGAGGGCTGACACTGGAGTCCATACTTTTATCCATCAAGACTATGGTTTTTAACTATATAATAGTTTCCTCTGGGTCGTAGTTACATACTGACTATGGCAGGTGTCATTTCAACTAGTTGATTCTTCTATTGAATAGTTGATATAAGTGTCATTTTTAATATTTCCTCTTATATTATCTTAAAAAATTAATGATAAATATGCCATTTTTTATAATCTATTTAATTAACAGACTGGTAAACGGTTAAACCAACTATTTTACTTCTTTACTTGTTCAAGGCGGTATCTGTAAAATCAGGGGATGGGTTGGAAAAGCTTTTTCCTAAAACTCATTAAAGCAAACATGTATCCATTTCAGATAAAACATTTCCCTCCCAGCACCAACCAAATCACCTCCAGCACCCCATTTTGGGAAATACTGTTCCACACTAAAGCCTGGTTGCCTAGGAGAAAACTTCAGGAAGCAGCTCTAATGAGTAGATAAGAATGATTTGCAATTAGCATCAATTGTCTGTATGCAAATTAAAGCTCCTAAGCACAGGGCCCTTTTTGCAGCACACCCCCCATTTGACTCCCTCCACTTGAGTTCAGCAAATCCTTCCCTCAGAAGAACAGGGTAGTTCTGTGCCCACCCTCTGCCCTTCACCCTCTATTCCTGCCACTACTTCCTTTTCTGCAGTCGGTGTTGAACCCCACCCTTACCCTGGCTCACTGACATAACACAGGACTGTGCCCAGAACTGGCCCACCATGACTGAGGCTGGAGACCCCTTGGTGGGCAGAGGTCCACCCTTAGCTGTTTCAGTGATTACGCCATTATCGCCTGTGGGGAGGGCTGGGCTCTCCTCCGAATTCACTATTATTTCTCCTCAGTTTCCAGCAACAACTTTGCAAGAAATATGAGTGAAATGAATGAGTCAGTGAGTAGAGGAATAAAGCTGTTCAAAGCAGCCTTCGAATTTGCAAAATTGAGAACTTAGGTATAGTGGCACACACCTCTAATTCCAGCACTCTGGGAGGCTGAGGCAGGAGCATAGCAAGTTCAGCCCAGTCTGAACAACTTGGGGAGAATTTGTTTTTATTTTATATTTTTATTTTTTAGGCAGAACCAGGGATTGAACTCAGATCCTTGTGCTTGCCAGTGAAGCGCTTATTCCACTGAGCCATCTCCCCGGCCCCGAGAATTTGTTTTTAAACGACAAATAAACACACACAAACAAATGGCTGTGGCTATAGTTTAGTGTAAAGGCCCTGAGTTCAACTGCCAGTACCACAGAGTCTAACTTACTCAGTTTCTCTCTGTGCCTGTCTCTCTACCTCTGCTCTTTTCTTGGGCACTGGATCGGGCCCGGGGCTGGCACCGACACACTGACATGGAGAACTGCAGTGGGTTTCTAATCTGTTGAAGAGCCTCTGGTAGGGCAGGAAATCTTTCAACTTCAGATTGCTCAGTATCCAGACCAGACCAAAGTGAAGGGCAGAAAGCTATGAGTTGCTCTGGAAATCACCCTTTCTTTTTTATTTTTTTATGTATTCGGTACAGGGTCTCACTATGCAGCTCTGACTCATAGTGATCCTCCTGTTTCAGCCTTCCCAGAGCTAGGATTACAAGTGTGCATCATCACACCTGGACTCAGTGGCTGGCTCAGCATGTCCAGGGTCGGGGTTCATGCAGTATGTAGTGCCAGGGACTGAACCCCGGTCGCTGTGATTGTCTAAGCAGGCACTTAGTCGGCTGAGGGGTTCTGGTCAAGCAGGGCTGATGCTGCTGCCTAAAGGCTCATGACTAGTGCCAGCGGTTTGGGTACTGAGGCCTCTGAGGGACTGGTGACTAGTGAAGGTACTAGAATGCCCATGGGCTGAGAAGATCTTTGCCCTGGGGATCTTAGGTTCAGGCTGGCCCCGGGAAGCAGCATAGCATTCCCGCCTGGGGCCACACACCTCTGAGCGCCTCTGGATGAGACAGAAACCTGTGGCTGCAGATTCATTTTTCTACCTCAACGTTTTTCTGGGTGGCAGGTCACTGGTCCAAGCAGGCTTGGCTCTGCCTGCTCCTCTGCTAGTGATTCCCAAAGTGCACTTCTGGGACCAGTGGTGTCAGAATCTACTAGAAAAGGTTAAAAATGTGTCTTCTTGGTTCCCAGCTTGACTCACTGAATTAGAAACCTGAGTGGGGCCCAGCAGTGTGTGGATGGAGCCCGACCAGGAGCTGCTTGCTGACCACTGCTCTACACTACAGTGGCAGGAAGGATAAACCGGGGTCTCCTAGGCTTCCTTCTAGCTGGGATCCATTACCTGCTGCAGGCAGTCCTGGGAAAATGCTGCTGTAAGAATTATTTTCTGGGGCTGGTGAGATGGCTCAGTGGTCTACAGCATCTGGGGGGATGCACAGATGTGGCGTCCCTCTCCTGCCCTTGTCCCCCTGTAGACGTGACAGCCATCCTGAAGCCAGAGACACACGAGCCAGAGTGGGAAAGATGATGGAGCAGGAGTCCACAGGGACAGCCTCACGAGGCCCCCTGAGCTGCTGCACCCACCTGGCTCTGTCCTCTCTGGAGCCCAACGTCGGGGACTGGTAACTCCTATTTGTTTAAGTCACAGCCTAATGTACTCCTAACAGATAATTTGGTAATCCCTAGAAAGCGTAAGAACCACTGGTCTCAGCAGAAGAAGAAAACAGAAAACAGGGTCAGAGCGGAGACAGATGAAGACAGACACAGCCAGGGCTTCTTCTCTCTCTATCCCTGGTCTTCAAAGGTGGATGGGCAGCAGGGAGTGGTCCACAAGCCTTACACTGCTATAAACCAACTCAAATAACTGAGTGCACATACACACATGCTTCTGGGGAGGGGCCCTACCACCTGGAAGGAAGAAGGTGGCCAAGAGCCTCTGAAGGCCCTGGACTTGGTGTGGAGCCTTACCTGGGCTGCCTCGGCAGGTCCCGGCTGCCCCCTGCCAGACCAGTAGGGGTGCTGGAGCCTGAGGAGTACAGCTTTGGTCGATAGCCCTTGCTCTGTCCGGCAACCACAGGGGCTGGGGAGACCTCCCGCCGCCTGTCTGTGTGGTGGGGCCTCCCAGCAGCCTCGCGTCCCCCACCACAAAGGCCGATGCTTCCTGGGGGCTTGTGAGACTTGGCAGGCCTAGGCGCCTTGGCCAGGGACATGCAGCTGGGGCTGGAGGTGTAGAGGGTGGTGTCAATGCCGCTGTCGCTGGAGCCGCCCTTGGAGAGGGGGTCCTGCTCTGGCTCCAGGGGGTCCAGAGGGTCGAACCAGCGGTCATCACTGTGGCTGCTGGAGGCGTTGCTGGAGAGGGTATTGCTGCTGGAATGGCTCGAGTACTGAGGTTCACCCTGGAAGGCAGAGAGGTGTGTCACCCAGACTCCAGGGGAGGCACCCATCCCCTCCTCCCTCTGCCCTCAGGTGAACCCAGTGACCACAAAGCTTCACATCCTGCCCCCTGAGTTCTGGCCTAGTCTCCTTGGGCAAGTGATGCAGCCCCTCTCTCTATCTTACTTTCTGAGACTATAAATCGAGGCTCTATGTGATTATATATCCCCGCTTCCTGGGGTTGCTTGGAGGAACAAATAATACCTGGCTAAAGTGTTTCCCACTTCTAACTTCAACCAATCTAAAACTGAGCTCCAGGCCCTCCTTCCCACCCACCTTAGCCTCTAGCTCTGGATAATGGCTGCACCCTTTCACACCTCCAGCAGCCCCACCCTAGAACCTACGAAAACAGGGCCTCCTTAGCTCAGGGATCATGCCCAGTGCCACAGCAAACCCCACCTCCGGCATCTGGGATCCCCGCCTAGGGCCGGCCACTGACTCCTCCTGGCCTCCAGCCTAGTCCTGTCCGCCACGGCCTCCTTCTACCCCACTGCAGCAGCCTGCTCCCTACCCACCTCTCATGACTTGTGCCCCACGTGCGAGCCTCCGTGTTAGGTCATGAGCCTTTCCTGCTCAAGACTCTCCCGCCGCTCCACCTCACCTGGGAAATGAGAGCTCTCACCAAAGCACAGGCCTTGATTGCCTGGCCCCTGCGCTGGCCTCTAACGTCATCTCGCGCCCTGGCCACACTGGTTCCCTTGCTGACCGCTGAGCGCGCCAGGCACGCTCCTGCCTAGGGCCTTTGCATGTCTCATTCCTTCTGCTTGCAATGCTCTTCCCATAGATCTTTTCCCAGACCACCTCTTACTCCATTCAAGTTCTGGCTTCACGGTCACCTCCTCAAAAAGCTTTGCTGACAATGTTACTGTAAAGCAGCAAGGCTAGTCACTCTTTTCCTTTAACTGTGCTTTGTTTTTCTTCTATAGCAAGGATCTGTTTTCTTTTTTTTTAAATTTTTTTTTTGAGACAGGGTCATGATAAGTAGTTTAGGCTGACCCTGAGCTTACCATGTAACCCAGGCTGGCCTCAAACTTGTAGTACCGCTCCTGCCTAAGCCTCCCAAGTGCTGGGATTACACTCATGTGGCACCACATGCAGCTCAGGATTGGTTCTTTTTTTTTAAAATTTTATTTATTTATGTGTGTGTGTGTGTGGCCAGCTCAGCCCACCAGGGGGCGGGGCGGGCTGGCATGTGGTGCTGGGGATTGAACCTCAGTCCCTGTGCTTTGCTAAGCTTGTTCTAAGTAGGTGCTTTAGACCACTGAGCCATCTCACCAGCCCTCAGGATGGGTTCTTAACGCTATAAACCATTTCTGTTTATCTGCTTGCTGCTTGTTGCCCCTGCTGGGGTGTCAGCTTTCTGAGGAAGGAGCTAGTCTGTCCTCTTCAGTGCAGTGGTCCCAATGCCCTGCACACTGTGTGTGTCTGATGCCTATTGACTGAACAGATACAGACTGCCAAGGGCTCAGCTGAACAGCTCCGCCTCGACACTGGGACTACATTTCCCGCCAGCCTTGCGAGGATGGAGTCCTGCCCACTGCAATGTAAGTGGAAGTGGCTTGTGCTATTCTAAGCCTGGACTAAAAATTCCTCCCACTTGATCCTTTCTGCTTCCTACCCTTCCCAAGCAGGGGCCCAGCAGAGGTTGGGCGGCGCTAGGGGATAGCAAAGCCCTAGAGGGAGTGTACCGGGATGCTGAGTCACCCTGTGGCCAGCAGCTGCTCCCTGAACACCTCATTACACTGTGTGTGGGAGGGCCTGGGGCCAGCATTACAGTCACTGAGATCCAGGGGCTGCAAGCAGAGCAGTTCATCCACTGGGCTGATGGACTGATGCAGTAACAAGGAAGTTGTGACTGGCAATTTGCTGGAGATGACCCTGATGGTGGGGGCCACAGCCGGGCGGCTCTAAGCACAGACCCGTGTGCAGCAAGCAGGGTGTTCTGGCCACACCCAAGAAGAGCAACCGGGCCCTGCTGCATCACCTGGAGGCCAGGCTCCCAGGGTGGGGAGGGATGGGGCCAGCCCAGACTCACTTTGGAATGCCTGTTGGGGGAATCTTTGCCTGCTGCATCCTGCCTGGGGATGTGCTTGCTCCCACTGCTTCCAGTCATGGCCGAGAGCCGGGCCTGGGCGGGCACATGCCACAGAGGTTCTGCAGGAAAACAGGAAAAATGGGTGGTTAGGGTGATGCAGGCTACATCCAAAGAAGAGTCCCGCCCCTCTGCCAGCCAGTATGCACCTCTGGCTGGACCCAATCAACCCGTGCCTTGCGCCACAACACTCAGTGGCAGAGGATGGCTATTTAACTCACACAGGGGCCACACAGCAGTCCCCTCATCATCCTGAAAGGGGTGGAGACATTTTCATCCTTAGTGGCCATTTGGATTTTCTCTTTTGTAATTTACTTGTTTATCTACTTTCCTCATTTTTCTATAGGGTTGACTTTTCTTTTTCTTATTGGTCTGAAGTTTTTCACGTATGTAAGTTGGTCAGATATATAGCTTTTCAAAGGTGGAAGCACTAGAGATCAAACTCAGAGCCTTTATACTGACCTACATCCCCAGTAAAATAAAAAAAGTCATTAACTTGCCCAGGCTGGGCTTGGACTTGTGATCCTCCTGCTTCAGCCTCTCAGAGTGCTTCGAAGTTACTTCATTACTAACAGTGCACAATATTGTATCTCACGAATGGGTGTTAATTATTTGCTAGTTTCCTACAGATGGATATGTAGGTTATCTTTGATTTTACCTTACAATCCTGTTGCCCTGGCCTTTCTTTACTCCCAGCTTTGAGTGAGTGTAGGTCACGCCTGGGGCAGAGCTGTGCAAGGTGAATTAATGCTTCAAAGGTGAACAGGTTTAACACTGTGAGGCTGCTGTGGTGTAAACTGGTCTACACTCCCCATGCAAGGCAACGTGCCTGAATGGAGCCCGTATCTGCCTTGAAACATTGGCTAGCTGGGTGCCGCGGCAATGTTGTAATCCCAACATTGGGAGGCTGATGTAGGAGGATTAAAAGTTCAAGCCCAGTGTCAGCAACTTAGCAAAATGCAGTCTCAAAAACAAAAAAAGGGTCGGGGATAGATATAGCTCAACGTAAAGACCCTGGGCTCAATTCCCAGGACTCAAGGGGTGGTGGTAGGGAAAAGAAATACCCCAACACATTTCGTTAACATCTAGAAAAACTACATTACACTAACCAAGTTTCTAAACCTAGGTGGTCTAACCTCAAGGCCCATATTCTGAATCTTTATGACAGTCAAAATTATCACAGTAATAATTATTGATAAGCACATGTTCTGAGTCAGGCATTACTCTTTCTGTTGCATGTATTATCTTGGCATATAATGTGAATAATATCATAAAGTGGATGTTGGTACCATTCCTAAAAGAGAAGCAGAACATTAAGACTCAGAGCAGTTAAGTAACTAGTCCAAGGTCACATAGAAAGGACCAGGCAGGAAGTGGAGTGGAAGTCAGTTTGGTGTCAGCCCCTTTGCCCTCAAGCCTTGCACCCTCCTGGGTGTTCCTACTGACAACCTAGACAATGACAGAGGGCAAGCACACAAGAAGCAGTGGTTCTCACTTTCCTAATGATGTGCTGCGGGCTGGGCACCGTCTCACTGATCCCCAAACAGCCTTAGAAGGAGAGACTGAGGGTTCGCAAGATGCGAGAACATGAGGTCACGGTGAGGGCCCACCAGGCCTGTGGGACCTTGGGCTCACGGCCACAAGACCACTCCCCACAGTGCAGCACGGAGGTTCTTGGCCTCTGCCCTAGGGACTGGCAGGGTACTCAGGACGACTACCACAAGACAGGCTGGCAGGACCCAGGGGAGCAGTTGACACCCACCACTTCCTTGGTGTAGTCTGCCTTCTGGAGCACCCCACATGCCCAGAAGGGGCTTTTGCCCTGGGAGGCAGCCAGACCACACCGGGAGTCACACTTCTACAGAGCCAGGCAGGGACAGCTTTAAGTGACTATTCCTACGATGTCTCTGGCCTGCCCAGTCTGTGGGCAGAGGATGGGCTGCCTCACTCAGCCACCTCCCTTTGCGGCCAGAACCAGATTCCTTATGGTTCCTGCACCTGCCTGCCTCTCCTGCTTGTCTGATGACTGGTCCATCTTTACAGCTGCTCAGGCCCATCCTGACTCCTCTCTTACATCCATATCTAGGCATTAGGAAATGTGCCCAACATTGCCTTCAGAATACTGTACACCCAGGACCACCTATCTCTTTCTTCCCTGTCCCTACCTGGTCCTGGTTCCAGACTACCAGCAGGAAGCTGCACTCAAAGGCACCTGTGAACCTGAGTATGCTCCTCACCCCTCTCTGCTCATAAGACTGAACCCTGTGGCTCTGGCCCATTATGAGTGAAGTCACAGTCTCAAGGCCCCATGTGCCGGCCCTTCTCCCTAGCCCCATGGCAAGGCTTCTTCACTGGTCCTCCACACTCCAGCTTCAGGGCCTGGGGACAGCTCTTCCTCCCCTTGGAATGTCCTCCTCCCAGATGACCTCTCTGCCTTCTTCCAGCCCCTCCAGGAGACTGATTTGCTCAAAGCTCCCCAAACCCCATCCATCCCTCTCACCACTGTGTTTGTTCCCACTCTATAGTCCACCCTGACAGCTACTGTTCTGTCACCACTGTCCCCGGCTTATTGTCCATCTTTCCCACCAGATCCTCAGCCCCAGGAAGGCAGGCAATGGGGCTGTCTGGCTGTCTCTGGCACCTGGGCTGGCAGTGCCATTAATGATACACAGGATGAGTAGATGAAGGGCCAGGTTCCTTCCCATCTTGGCCACCCCAGTGTCCCCTTGTCCCTGGCTCTACCTTTGGCAGGTCCTGGTTCCCGGCCCTCCACTAGTTGTGCAGTAGCCTTCAGGCCTGCATGCTGTACACTATATGCTTGGTGGACAAAAGCACAAAAGATGCCAGGCATACACAAGCTGAAGACTTGGGGATATTTGCCTGCTTTGTCCACACTCCCTTGGGAGGAGGCTGGGTGGTGTCTCTGGCTAGCAAGGTTTAGTTCAGGAGGTGTCCTAAAGCCCTACACACTTCACTTCAAATCCCAGTTATGGCAGAGACTTTAGACAAGTGACAAGTTTTCTCTTGTCACCTCCCTCACCTCTACAATGGGGCAGTCACATGCTTTCTGTAGCGCTGCGATGGTGACTCAGGTGGGAGGCATGTGGCATACCTGGACAACAGCTACACAAAACCAACTGCTGGTGTCATGGCTGCTTATCTCTGGGCTGTATGAAGCCTGTGGCTGCTGTGTGCTCTGGTGTGTGATCCTCACTGGCTCTCACCACTGACTGGACCCACCCGGTCCCTAGGTTTGGAACACCCCGGGTCTCCTGATGATCTCTGCAGATTCCCCTGGTGTGTGTGTGTGTGTGTGTGGACAGGGAAGGTGTTAGCTAACCTATTGCAAGGTCCTGGGGAGGTGAGAGGGAGTGGACGGAGGAGAAGGGAAGGTCAGTAGTGAGCTGTCTCTGACACCTATTTCTGACCCACGGTGAAGGATGGAAAAATTCCTCCCATCTTACACTTTGGTGTAATAAAGCAGATAAGCGACACTTTTCTCTTTTACTGAACTGACTGGGGAAAAAGAAAAAAGATCCAAAGCTCTGTCTTGGAGCCAAGCTCACAGATGTGCAGCAGCGCCAGGCAAGGGCAGCCCGCTGAGGAGGGCCTGGGAGACAGGAGGTTACCTGCTGGCCTTCAGCTGAACCTTTACACCTGGTTTAAGAGAGTCACAGGTGCCAAGAATTCCCCTGGGGCCTGCAACCTTGTTATCCCACGGACTGGGGAGCTACGGAGGTGGGCCTGGCTGCTCACCCCTACCAGCTACCCCCAGATCCTCCAACTTCCCCTACGAGGCTATCTCCAACTCTTTTTTTTTTTTTTGGAACCGGGGATTGAACTCAAGTCCTTGTGTTTGCCAAGCAAGCGCTTATTCTACTGAGCTATCTCCCCGGCCCCCTACAACTCTTTTTTTGTAAGTTAATGCTGTAGCACTTTTGTTTTTTTCCCTTTTGAACCCACGTCAAACATTCATTTGGAGGCTCTCAGACCTCAAAAGGCCCAAAAGTTTGTAATGCTTTTAAAGTATCTAGCTGGGGCTGGGGAGATAGCTCGGTGGTCTAAGCACCTGCCTCGCAAATGCAAGGACCTGAGTTTAATCCCCAGTACATGTGCTGGCTCCAGAATTGTGGGCCCTGAAACTGGTGTGGTGGCACATGCCTGTAATCCCAGTGCTGGAGAGGCTGAGACAGCTGGTACTACAAATCCCAGCTGTGCAGCGAGACCCTGTACAAAAAAAACTTCTCTGGAAAGCACACAAAAATAAGTTCAATCAAAAAAAAAAAAAAAAAAAAAAAAAAAATCTAATGGGGCATGGTGATAAGAGGACTATCATCCCAGCACCCTGGAAGGCTGGGGCAGGAAGATGGCAAGTTTGAAACCAGCTGGGGCAAGTTAGCAACTTAGTGAGACACTGTCTCAAAAAACAAAAACACAAAACAAAACAAAAGAAAAAAAAGGCCAGGTACAGTGGTACTTGCCTGTTATCTCAACAGTTGGGATGGTGAGACAGGAGGATTGCCATGCAGTCAAAGCCAGCCTAGGCTACACAGTGAGTCTC